ACTCGTACGAGGCCTACGGGACGAGGGGGGCCCGTCCCAACACGTTCCGAAAAAAGTCGACCGGCACCTCAACTACCATACCCCCCTATAGTAGTTAAAAAAAAAAAAACCCCAGTGACAGCAGTAGACACGGTTTGTCCCGTAAATCACACGGTCATTTCGGGTGGTTCCGTGCATTTTTTTTCAAATGTTATTGCATGGTCCTTTAGTTTAGAGCATTTTAACAATGCTTGGTAAATTTCAAAGCGTTTGGATGATTATTTCATTGAAAACGACGATGTCCAAATTTATGCCCAGCTGTCCGCAAAGTTCCTTGTCTGACTTAGCCAAGTACTTGGGATTGTTGGGAATGTGAGAGGAATATATGGCATATCGTTTGCCTCACTAATTAAATAGTACAATAAGCTCTAAAACAAATGTATATGCCATTTTGGCACGAGAACGACGTAAAACGACATAGGCCAAGGCATAACACAGAACCGTCGTAAAAGTACTGGGGTGGCAGGCGGGTAAACCTCTGTTGCGTGATATTTTCCGCATCCGTCCGCAACTGTGCGCAATTTGGGCGCCCTCGTTCCGCATAAGTCCGCAACCTCGGCACCCTCGTTCCGCATAAGTCCGCAACCTCGGCACCCCCGTTCCGCATAAGTCCGCAACTTGGGCACCCTCGTACCGCAACTTTCCGCAACCTCGGCACCCTCGTACCGCAACTTTCCGCAACCTCGGCACCCTCGTACCGCAACTTTCCGCAACCTCAGCACACCCGTACCGCAACTTTCCGCAACCTCGGCACACCCGTTCCGCATAAGTCCGCAACCTCGGCACCCCCGTACCGCAATTTTCCGCAACTTGGGCACTCTCGTACCGCATAAGTCCGCAACTTGGGCACCCTCGTACCGCAACTTTCCGCAACCTCGGCACCCCCGTACCGCAATTTTCCGCAACCTCGGCCCACCCGTACCGCAACTTTCCGCAACCTCGGCCCACCCGTACCGCAACTTTCCGCAACCTCGGCACCCCCGTACCGCAATTTTCCGCAACGTCGGCCCACCCGTACCGCAATTTTCCGCAACGTCGGCCCACCCGTACCGCAACTTTCCGCAACCTCGGCACCCCCGTACCGCAACTTTCCGCAACCTCGGCACCCCCGTACCGCAACTTTCCGCAACCTCGGCCCACCCGTACCGCAACTTTCCGCAACCTCGGCACACCCGTACCGCAACTTTCCGCAACCTCGGCACACCCGTACCGCAACTTTCCGCAACCTCGGCACACCCGTACCGCAACTTTCCGCAACCTCGGCACCCTCGTACCGCATAAGTCCGCAACCTCGGCACCCTCGTACCGCATAAGTCCGCAACCTCGGCACCCTCGTACCGCATAAGTCCGCAACCTCGGCACCCTCGTACCGCATAAGTCCGCAACCTCGGCACCCTCGTACCGCATAAGTCCGCAACCTCGGCACCCTCGTTCCGCATAAGTCCGCAACTTGGGCACCCTCGTACCGCAACTTTCCGCAACTTGGGCACTCTCGTACCGCAACTTTCCGCAACTTGGGCACTCTCGTACCGCAACTTTCCGCAACTTGGGCACCCTCGTACCGCAACTTTCCGCAACTTGGGCACCCTCGTACCGCAACTTTCCGCAACTTGGGCACTCTCGTACCGCAACTTTCCGCAACTTGGGCACCCTCGTACCGCAACTTTCCGCAACTTGGGCACCCTCGTACTGCAACTTTCCGCAACTTGGGCACCCTCGTACCGCATAATTCCGCAACCTCGGCACCCTCGTTCCGCATAAGTCCGCAACCTCGGCACCCTCGTACCGCATAATTCCGCAACCTCGGCACCCTCGTACCGCATGAGTCCGCAACTTAGGCACCAACGTTGCGCATGAGTCCGCAACTTAGGCACCAACGTTGCGCATGAGTCCGCAACTTAGGCACCAACGTTGCGCATGAGTCCGCAACTTAGGCACCCTCGTTCCGCATGAGTCCGCAACTTAGGCACCCTCGTACCCCATAAGTCCGCAACTTGGGCACACTCGTTCCGCATGAGCCCGCAACGTAGGCACACTCGTTCCGCACAAGTCCGGCACTTAGGCACACTCGTTCCGCATGAGTCCGCAACTTAGGCACGCTCGTTCCGCATAAGTCCGCAACGTAGGCACACTCGTTCCGCATATGCCCGCAACGTAGGCACACTCGTTCCGCATATGCCCGCAACGTAGGCACACTCGTTCCGCATATGCCCGCAACGTAGGCACACTCGTTCCGCATAAGTCCGCAACCTCGGCACCCTCGTACCGCATAAGTCCGCAACCTCGGCACCCTCGTACCGCATAATTCCGCAACCTCGGCACCCTCGTACCGCATGAGTCCGCAACTTAGGCACCAACGTTGCGCATAAGCCCGCAACTTAGGCACCCTCGTTCCGCATAAGTCCGCAACTTAGGCACCCTCGTACCCCATAAGTCCGCAACTTGGGCACACTCGTTCCGC